CAAAATGGTATACTCCATTGAAGAAAGAACGGAAATTATTGCAACCTATTATCGAAATAATGATTGTGCAAACGCCTCGGCACGAATTTTTAATAATAATCATCCCGAAAAAAACGAAAGTTACCAATACGTTCAACAATTAGTAGCTAAGTTTCAAACTACGGGTTCCATCCACAACAAAAAACGTCCAGTAAGCAATGAAGCTATAGAAGATTCTGTGTTGGGTCATGTACAAATGGATTATACACAGTCTATCAAGAAATTATCTCAAGCCTCTGGCGTATCCGCCACCAGTGTGTTTCGTGAAAATGAACAAGTTTCATCCTTTCAAAATTCGGCTGGTTCAAGAAATTAATGAAGATGACCCTGATCGTAGGTTACAGTTTTGCGAATATTTCAGTGAGCAGTTGATTATTAATCCTAATCTTTTGTATAATACATGTTTTTCGGATGAGTGCACTTTTATGTTAAATGGACAAGTGAATAGACATAATTGTCGCTATTGGAGCGATACTAATCCACATTTGCTCCATGAAACCCACACCCAAGTTCCCCAAAAGTTAAATGTTTGGGCCGGAATTTTAGGGGACCATCTTGTTGGTCCATTTTTCATAGACGGCAACCTCAATGGAGACATTTATCTAGAAATGTTGAAAGATCTTATTGATCCAATGATTACCGAAATTCTAGAAAATGATAATAATTTATTTGAAGATCAAATTACATTTCAACAGGACGGCGCACCTCCGCATTATACCCTTGAGGTACGACAATTTTTGGACGTTGGATTGGAAGAAGGGGTCCTATAGAGTTAGATCTCCTGATCTAACACCGTTAGATTTTTTTGTGGGGACATTTGAAATCAAAAGTTTATGCCACTCCACCAGAGACTCTTCAGGAATTGAGGGAAAGAGTTATTAGAGAATGCCGGTTATTAACGCCAGACGTATTTCAAAATATTAGAAATAATTTTAATCAACGTCTGTACTATTGCATGGAGGTTGGAGGAAATCACTTTGAACAATACATTCGTTGATTTACAGTTTTTTTGTTTTATTTTTTTTTACCAAATTTAAAACTTTAAATAGCAATTTCTCCAAAACTAACTAACAGATTTTAAAAAAATTACAGAACCTTATTAGGAATTAAAAGACCTTTAAAATGATATATCACTCAACCCTCCTTACACTTTAAAATTTAGGGGGCGTGAAACATACATCAAAATTCGTCCCCTTAAAAATAAAAATTGACGTGTCCAAGGAATTTTGTCCACACTCATCCGATAAAACGTTTAGGGGGGTACAAGTTTTCGTTGGAACACCCTGTATATATATATCGCTTTTAATTTTTGGATGACACTTGTTAACTGGTAGTTTGTGCGAAAATATTATTTGAACGTAATTATATTTTGTGACAAAAATTAGTTTTATATTTTGTAGCGTAAAACTTACAATGGACTGTATTTACATATTTATATAAAGTAACTGCCAAATATTGTAGTTTAATTTTTTGGAACGTAAAACCTACAATGCACTGTATTTTTATATATTTATATAAACTTTATTTCTTTTATAAACATTATTTATTTTATTTTTTTTATAAACATTATTTATACACCACAGTAGCACTACCCAAAAGTAATTCATATAGGTAATTAAAAATAAATGAAAATATAAAAATTAATAAGAGCGGAATCATAGAAAACCTAAGTCTATATAAAAAGACTTCATGAATATTAATACTAGTTCAAAAGCCAAATTATTATTAAACTTCCTAACGAAATAAAGCTAAAATGTCATTGTCAGTTGAACCTAACCTAAAAATGATGTGACAGAATTTAAAAAAATTAAAAAATGCAATGCTTGAAAAAAATAATATATAAAACACGGCAGCAAAAGCTTAATAATTTCCTCGCACACAATCTTCTGCCTCAGTTGGCGCCTCAGCAATGAAATGAAATGAATGCTCATCGATAATAGGTGATTTTTCCGCTTGGTCTTCAATGTACTAATATTATATTATACCATTTTTATCGACATTAAATAAATTTTATGTATGTAACTTTAAGGACGTACTGCACCCAATATTGGTGTTCAATTTTTAAATCTATTAGTGTTAGGATAAAACTAGATAGATTAAATTTCCATCACTATTAAAAATAGCATTCACATTAAAAGTGAGAGCTACCGAACACGGTAAGTGTAGTAATTTTCAATCAAATAGTGTATGAAGTCGCACGAACTGTGTTTAATGTGTTACACTACAAGAGTACAACCACTATAGTTAAAACAACACTAAAATTCACACTAAATTAAAGGTGAACTCTAATAAAGTGGACCTGCTCAAGCTATAACTAGTGTTCTCTAGTGAAGCCTAGTGTGAAGCTTTTTTTTACTGTGTACAGTAAAAAAAATCAACTCTAAGCAACACTAATTGAATACGTCAATGCAGAAACTGAATATGTCCTACCTATCTAGTTTTGAGATAAATAAGAAAAACTGAACAGAAAGTGGACATGTTCTGGACATATTCAGTTTCTCTACTATATTAACGCCTTTGTATAATCTAGATTACCGTGACATGTAAAATTTCTACGCCATTCGATCGGGCACCCTTTACTTATAGTAAATCCATGTTTAACTCAATATCCCTAAAAAGTGGACATATTCAGTTTCTGCATTGACCTATTCAATTAGAGTTCACACAGGTCCACATTAAATAGTTTTGTTTTATAACACTACAATTAGAGTTAATTTGTAGTGTAATGTTCCCCAAGTAAGCAAGTATGATTTAACACTATAGCACTGAGGATAAAGTAATTTTACACTGAATTAAAAAGTGTTAATTTACCTAAAATCGTGTACTTCTACACTTGCTGGGTAAAATCCCACTTTTGTTCAGTGTAAATTAACACTACTTTGGAAAAGTTCTAATTTTAGAAAGGTACTTTTACTCTTTTAGTGCAAACTTTTAGTGTAAATTAACACTATTATTTGAGTAAAACCTATTGGTGGTAGTGAATAAAGTGAGAAACATTTATTTAGAACAAAAATCTATGACAATTATCAAAATCGGTGCCTTTTAAAATATAATTTTATATTTGAGGTGTGGCTGGCTTAAGCAAAATGGTTCCTTAAAACGTAAAAGTTTTAGATCAATGCAATGTTTTACTGGCTGTCAACTTGTACCTAAGCAATTAATTTTCTAATGAATTCATCAGTAATCCATTTTTCTGTTATAAAAAATGGGTGATCCCATTGGTAGAGAGGCGTCAGGCGGCTGTATGCCGGGGATTTACCAGACGTGTACAAATTTTCAATAATATTAATAAAAATGGACATCCTTTTAACATATTGGTATTTATTGAGTGTTAAGGCTTTAAGAAAAAGGAAGTATAATACTTTATACCAAAAAATAAGAATGTGCCCTTATGGATTCACCGTAATTAAAATCTAACTGAACAAAAATGCCACACGGTATCCCAACCAAACATTTTAAAACGCATTTTAGTTATTACCAGTTTTTTCAGTCTATTTTGCCACTATTGGTGTAATTTAACTTTAATTGTGATACAATGTGCACTAGTAGTGTAAAGAAAAAAGAGCTCTTAGTAAAATCAAAACAGACAAAGAAATGGCCATGCACTGTAATATTTTTACCCCTACACTAAAAAATTTACACGTGCAAATTTTTTTACTGTGTACGTGTATATTGTTTGGTGCAAAATTAACTAATATAATTTATATTTAAGTTTGGACATTTTTTTAGAAATATAATAGTTAATAAAACTAAACCCCGGATTTCCTCTAGAAAACACCCAACAGCACAACAAATCGTTCTCAAAAACACTCGTTTGTACCATACGCGTTTGAGAGCTGCTTATTAAAAGCTGCTCTTCTGTTACGATGATGACGGCCACCTGGTGGCGCCACTAAAAATACTTCTTTAGCGATAGACCAGGCAGATAAAGCTCATATTATAACCAAGCATACATTGCGAGGAAATTAGCTTTCGCTTTCATTTTAGTGTTTCTAAGATTCTGTCATATCATTTTTAGGCCAGGTTCAACTGACATAATAACATTTAAGGCTGGATTGTTTTTGTATATAATGGGAACAATGAACGCATTATTTATGTTGTTAGTTATTGGCCGATTTTCTTATTCACTGTGATTTGAACCAATAGCGTTTTAAATTGAAAAAAAGTAGTAAGGGTAAAATATCTTAAATATATTTATAAATTTTATTATAAAAAATTATTTAATTGGAGTAAAAAAGGCATATAGCACTCTAGATAATTAAATTAACGATTGTTTGCTTTATGCTCGAAATATCATATTCGAAAGGCGAAACAGGTAAATAAATGAATTTGCTTCCAACTTAACGTAGATACCTTTAGAGACCTCTCAATTAATATGTTATCAAATTTTCCCTAGTCTTAGAGTAGGTACTCTTAGGGATAATGTTTTATTAAATTAAAAATATAATTTAATATTATTATTATTATACAGGTATAGAACCAGACATGCTTGGGTTAAAATTGCCTGGACATAAAACATAAAGTAGGCGTGGTAGACAACAAAGAGACAATTTAAAAAAACAGGAAATATCGGTAATTAATTATGGGTATCGATTTTTATAATTTATAAGCAAGTGAAAGGAGCAATTAAAAATTGTTTATAATCATACACATTTGTTTGGGACAATATCACAACGGCCTTGGCTAAGAAGTAAAATAATTTTGGTTTGTCAAGGATCAGGAAGTAGGTAAATCCTTTAATTGGTGTTTACATTTCGTAACAAAACTTTTATTTATGATATTTAAGAATAACTTTTTATAATATTTAAAAAACTGGTATTTTTTCCTCTAACGATATTCGAAATTGTAATAGTACAATTTTATAGAAAGAGTTTGATTGTTAAAAGGGTTTTATTGTTAGATATTTATGGTAAATACGTTTGGGATTTTAATTTATTTATTGATCTAATTATTTAAACAGCCTAGTAGTAAATTTCAGGTTTGTATGAACCATCATCGTACAATCTTTCTGTGTGATCATGTACATAGGCACCTTCCAAGCCGGATCCAGCTGGGGTCAATCCATAAGGCGATGGGGCTAATGGTACAGCCCTGGCTTCAGGTACGTAAGCACCTTCGAGTCCGGAACCAGCTGGGGTCAAACCGTATGGGGATGGGGCCAATGGTACGTGTCTGGCTTCTGGTACGTAAGCACCTTCCAATCCAGATCCGGCTGGTGTCAAACCATATGGAGATAAGGCCAATTCGGCCGCTCTCAATTCGGGTTTGTAGGAACCGTCATCGTAGAGTTTGTCTAGGTTGTCCGGTACCCATTCTCCTTCTAATCCATGGCCTCTTGCTACTACAGCCAATGGGGCAAGTCCGTAACCCAATGGTGTGATAAGCCCGGCACTGGCGGCAGCAATAGCTCCAAGGAAGAAAAGCTAGATAGCGAAAGTTTATTTTAAAAAAATATAAAAACATATACAGGGTGAGTCGGGAGGAACGGACCAAACTTTAGGAGTGTATTATACACATGGAAATAATGTAACAAAACTCATGTTCTTATCCGATTTTTATTTATTTTCAAATTATAGCGTAATTAAAACTGTATATATAGCGTTCTACTTATTATGTATACTTTTTCGCATAATCAGAGTATGCCATGTTCGAGGCTCAAAAATATGTAATGACTTTTTTGTTTTGACAGTGATTGAACGTTCATTTCCGAATTTGTATGATTACAAAATGCCAAACACTTATTCAAATTTAGAATATGCAAATATGGTGTTTGTTTATGGTTTCTGTAATGGAAATGCAGCTGCTGTTGAAGAATATCGTCAATGGTTTCCAGATCAAAGACATCCTAATAAAAACGTATTTATCAGAGTTTTTCACAATTTGTGCGAGACCGGTAAGCTTCCTAGTGCTATCTGAACGAGCTATTTGACAAGGTTTAGAAGAAGTAGAAAATATTCTGGATTTAGTAGAGGAAGATGAATCAACCAGCTCACGAAGAATTGCTACCCAATTAGCCATTCCACAAAAAAAAGTAATAAACACTCTTCGTAGACGAAGCAGAAAATGTTTGGCTTTATTTTCGAACATTTATTAAAAGAACGCTATGATTAAAATAAAGTTATGAACTTTTGTTTTACGCTATAATTTGAAAACAAATAAAAATCGGATAAGAACGAGTTTTTTCCGTTCCTCCCGACTCACCCTGTATAGGTAATAAATGTGTATAAGCAGATATCATGGAGTGAAATTGAATTGCAAATACACATACACATGCACATTCACTGCAGTGAAACGTGATTAAACATTGAAAGTAGTTCTTTATTTTGATCAAAATTTAGAAATGCATTTAAAAAATAATTTAGTTTCACTACATTGATTAGCACCTGGTCATTAAAAATATAACATTAATTAAATAGGTACCAAATATATATATAAACATTATGAAATTAAATTAAAAGTGGTTAATAACGCTGTAGGTAAATTCTTAACTTTTGAAATATCACAGCTAAACGCTCGCACACGTAAACATAATTTTTGCTTGTAGATTTAGCTGTATCAGGTCTAAAAAAGTTTTTCCTATTGAAAAAACGATACGGGGACACACTGTATACTGGTATATTAAAATTATTAAAATAATATATTTCACCTCTTGTGCCTACTGTAACAGTCCTAATTCATTTAATATAATATCCTTAATTAAAATCAATAAAAAAAAATCAGCAAAAAAACATTTTGAATTTCCTAAATTATCTAAGAAAAAACCAGTGTTACTTTTGATGAATTAACTTCAACATTAGCAAGAATTTTTTTTTTGTTTAAATTTATACAGGATGTTTCCAATATGTTTGAATTTTGACCTGATACAGCTAAACCAAGCACGGATTTGTAATCTACGACCAAAAATGAAGTTTACGTGTCCGAGCGTTTAGCTGTGATATTTTCACCTACCTACAGTGTAATTAGACAGTAGCAAAAACTAAAAGAAAAACAGAATGTTGAGTTATAAAAAGTAAGAATAATGAAAAAGATATATATAAAGATAAAACTTGATACTTACGAAGGAGTTCATTTTAATTGAAGTCTTGTTGTTGTTTAACCCGAACAAGTGATACCAAATCGGTCCGGCCGATTTGTTATATATGTCAATTTAACCTTGTCCACGCCCAAAAATCGTCAACAAAAACTGCTTATTTTGCCCGGTCCCCGTGTCCTTCCAACCGGAATTTTTTTAAGAACCAATTATTAATACGCCCGAGATAAAGGTGTTTAAAGAGGTAAAATTTACTATTTTTGCATGCTTTATTACAAATTTGTCTAACGAGTTATTTAAAATAGATCATTTGTTTGACTGGTTTAAAAAACGACTTCTTTAATGTCTTTTGTATTTCATCATCGGCCGGCCACTAGTTTTTATTAAAACAACAAATGTATTGGTCTAAAATTTAAAATATTATATTTTTATAAAAACTTTTTATATTATTTTTTATGAAAAACACATTTAACAAATTTGATGGATGTTTTTGATATTATAATTGAGGACCTTGGAATAAAAGGGGTATAAGTGCAGCTGCCCTATTAAGCAAAAATGCTTTATGTGCAATATTAAGTAGTAATTGATAATACCCAAAATATTAGTAGCGCTTGACGCGCCTTGACGCGCCTTGGAGGGAGGCGAGGCCACGCCCCATATATAAATAGATATATTCGGTTTTAATATGAACGGGCTGTATATTATGCATCAGGAATGCACTGTTACCTGTTGCGCATTAGGTTCGGTGTTTTAGCGGAAAAATATTTTATTTCAAATTACATTGTATACATTGTATAATAAATTCATGCACATAACATCAAATGTCAAACGTCAACATTATCTACCTATGATAAGATAATTTATAGACTAAAATTTATTATGTATTTAATACATTCCATGCATTTGTGAGGTTATAACCACTTGGCAAAAACTTATCTAGGATTTCAAAACTGGTGAAATAGATACGGGTTGCTATTTAAAATTTTAGGGATAGGTGCTCTGAAGGTAAGGGGGTTAAATGTAATACAACAAATACCTCAACAGTTGTCCCCCTTGATATGTAAATTAACGTGTTTCGCTAAATTTTCATAGTGTCATACGTTAAAGTGCTGTTCGTTTAAAATTGTCAACCTGTATATATATACATATATTTATATATATATATAAATATATATATATATTAGGGTGTCCCAAAAAAAAAGAATATATATTTTTTTCTTGTCTCTTGTAAAAATATGTTAGTTTATCATGCTGTAAGAGCCCTTTCAAAGTATCAGCTCGATTAAAAATTTTTTAGGGGTCGCTCAAGATTTTTAAAAATTTTCAAAATCGTCAAAAATTGAATTTTTGTTTTATTTTAATTCTTTTTTTCGTCTCGATATTATTTTTTAGGTTGAAAATAATAAAAATTCTGTAAATTTCAAATCAATATTTTGATTTCTAAAGGTCGCTAAAAGTTCGTTGATATTTATATTCAGAGGTCGCTCGAAAACATTCAAAATACTCTTCTTTGAAAGTTAAAAAAATCTTGATCGACCTTTAGAAATTAAAATATCGATTTGAAATTTTCAGAATCATTATTATTTTTAAATTAAAAAATAATATCGGAACGAGAAAAAAAATTAAAATTAAAAAAAATCCAATTTTTGACGATTTTGGTAATTTTTAAAAATCTTGAGCGACCCCTAAAAATTTTTTAATGGTGCTGATCTTTTGACAGGGCTCTTAAAACATGACAAACCAACATATTTTCACAAGAGACGAGAAGAAGAAAAATATTCTTTTTTTTGGGACACCCTAATATATATATACATTAGGGTGAGATATAGATATTTAAAAAAAAATAATCAAAGTTTACGTGTATTTTAAATGGGAGTTAATATTAAGGGCTCAAATTTTCAGGGAATTTTTTTTGAACATTTTCAACAAGATTTTGAGTTGGGAGCGAAAAAATAAAAATTGTCGTGAAAAAAATATCACCCTAATATCGAGGGGTCAACCACCCAAAGGGAAAACGTCCAGGGATTCCCATGTATTCCCATTATATTTTATAGTATTTCTATGTATTCATATGGTATTCCCCCTCTAAAATGTCCAGGGATTCCCAGGTGTGGGTGACCCCTCGCCTAATATACGCCTAATATACATATATACATAGGTACCTAGGTACTTGTAAAAATATTTATTTACAATTTTTCGAGGAAAAGTCATTTTTCATAATTTCTTTTGCTTGTTATATAAATAGGATTAGCGTTGAGAAACATCCATTTTGTTGTACAGGGTGAGCAAAAATACTGATTTTCAAAATTTTTAAATAATTTTTTTAACCGCTATGAGTTTTCGATACAAAGATATTTTATATTGAAACTTTAAGATATTAGTTTTCAAATTTAAACATATAATTGTAGACATTGTAGACATGTCAGTTAAAAGCAACAACCCTAATTCATAATCACAAAATGAGATTGCATTCAATTTCTACAAAATGTTAGGACCACTTAAGTTAAGAATTGATTTTAATTTTAATAACAAATATCTTAGTAACAACAATTCACATGAAATAACTTTATTTGGCTTTTTGGTTTCTCCGTACAAGCTTTTCATATTAGACCTTCAAAAAAAAATATTTAACAATTTTTAATTTTGAAAATTGTATTTTTTGCGCACTCTGTATAACAAAATAGAAGTTTCTCATCGTGAATGGTATTTATATAACAAGCAGAAGAAATTATGAGGAGCGACTTTTCTTCGAAAAATTGAAAATAAATATTTTTACAAGTCCATCCGTGGACACACTGTACATAATATATATATATATATATATATATATTTATATATATATATATATTTATTATATAATAATAATATAACTACCATTATTTTTGTATACAGCAGCTTGTTTGTTATGCAAAACTTTCCAATTTATTTAATTTAGTTAGTTAAATTAGTCCCTTTTGATGGCAGTGTACCTACGCGTAGCTACGTTTGTAAACACGATTAACTACTACAAATGTTATTCAATAATTACATATTTAACTTTTAATGAATTCATGAATGAATCTTCTTCTTAAAAATTTAAAGCAATTTCACATGAAAGCAAATTATTGTGTATACGTTTTATTTTTTGTTTACTCATTAATGCCCATAAAATATAATATCAGAATATTTTATGAAAATTCGAATCCCAAATATTATAAAATTTATTTTATTTTATTATAAACAAGAATTGTTATGGTCATGTCTACAGATCATATTTCATTATTAAAATAAAAATATTATTGACCGACACCCTAATACGTAAAGATGTTTATTAGTTATAAATATATATTTTTAATTTGCATTTTAAAATACTCTACCTACCTATAGGTACCTACCTA